CTCATGCGTCCTGTTCCGTTCGTTTTATCTTTCAACAACCTCACTTACAACGTCTCTGTCCGCCGCAAGTTCGAGTTTCGCGATTTGATTCCACGAAGGAGACTATCTTTCTCCAAGACCAAAACCCTTTTAGACAATATCTCCGGCGAGACTCGCGACGGAGAGATTCTTGCAGTTCTTGGAGCTAGCGGATCGGGTAAATCAACTCTGATCGATGCTTTAGCTAATCGGATCGCTAAAGGAAGCTTGAAAGGCAATGTAACGCTAAACGGAGAGTCTCTTCAGTCTCGAATGCTGAAAGTTATATCTGCGTATGTAATGCAAGACGATCTCCTCTTCCCTATGCTTACAGTAGAAGAAACATTAATGTTCGCTGCCGAGTTTCGATTACCAAGAAGCTTACCTAAATCCAAGAAGAAGCTCCGAGTTCAAGCTCTAATCGACCAGCTAGGCATTAGAAACGCTGCTAAAACAATCATCGGAGACGAAGGACACCGTGGTATCTCCGGTGGAGAAAGACGTCGAGTTTCGATCGGTATCGATATCATACATGATCCGATTGTTCTATTCCTCGACGAACCGACTTCTGGTTTGGATTCCACAAGTGCATTCATGGTGGTTAAAGTGTTGAAGAGAATCGCAGAGAGTGGCAGTATCGTAATAATGTCTATACATCAGCCAAGCCACAGAGTTCTCGGATTGCTTAACCGTCTTATCTTCTTGTCTCGTGGCCACACCGTTTTCAGTGGATCTCCAGCGAGTCTGCCGAGTTTTTTCGCCGGATTCGGTAATCCGATACCGGAAAACGAGAATCAAACCGAATTCGCACTAGATCTCATCAGAGAACTCGAAGGATCAGCTGGAGGAACAAGAGGATTAGTCGAATTCAACAAGAGATGGCAAGAGATGAAAAAACAGAGCAATCCTCAACAAACCCTAACTCCGCCGGCTTCTCCGTACCCAAACCTAACCTTGAAAGAAGCGATTTCCGCAAGCATAAGCAGAGGGAAGCTAGTTTCCGGTGCCGGAGCTGGATCCACCGCCATAAACCACGGCGGAGGAACCCTAGCCGTCTCTGAATTCGCGAATCCGTTCTGGATCGAGATCAAAACCCTCTCCAAACGCTCAATCCTAAACTCACGAAGACAACCGGAGCTATTCGGAATCCGATTAGCCTCCGTAGTCGTCACCGGATTCATCTTAGCCACCGTTTTCTGGCGATTAGACAACTCACCAAAAGGCGTACAAGAGCGATTAGGGTTCTTCGCATTCGCAATGTCGACAATGTTCTACACTTGCGCAGAAGCACTTCCCGTCTTCCTCCAAGAACGTTACATCTTCATGAGAGAAACTGCTTACAACGCTTACCGGAGATCTTCCTACGTTCTCTCTCACGCCATTGTCTCTTTCCCTTCGCTGCTCTTCCTCTCTGTAGCTTTCGCAGCGACGACGTTTTGGGCTGTTGGGCTTGAAGGAGGCCCAATGGGCTTTTTATTCTATTGCTTAATCATCTTAGCCTCTTTCTGGTCCGGTAGCTCTTTCGTCACTTTCTTATCCGGCGTCGTTCCACATGTGATGTTGGGTTACACTATTGTTGTCGCTATTTTAGCTTACTTCTTGCTTTTTAGTGGCTTCTTCATCAACAGAGATCGAATACCAAATTACTGGATTTGGTTTCATTACCTATCTCTGGTTAAGTATCCGTACGAGGCGGTTCTTCAGAACGAGTTTTCGGATCCTACCGAGTGTTTTGTGAGAGGTGTTCAGATTTTCGATAACACGCCTTTGGGAGAATTGAGTAATGGGATGAAACTGAGGCTTCTTGATTCTGTGAGTCGATCGATCGGGATGAGGATAACGAGCTCTACGTGTCTTACGACGGGTGCTGATATACTGAAGCAGCAAGGCGTGACGGAACTTAGCAAATGGAATTGTTTGCTTGTTACGGTAGGTTTTGGGTTCTTTTTTAGGGTTTTGTTTTACTTGTGTTTGTTGCTTGGGAGCAAGAACAAGAGGAGGTGAAAATGAAATAGCCGAGTATAGTAAAAAAAAAACCAAAAACATATATTGTATTTTTTTTCTTCTATTCATTATTGTAATTCGTTGGATTAATTGATCTTGTATCTTTGAATTGTAGTATTATTATTTTATAACATATTATTGTAAGAACCTCAATTGCGGTTGGTTATGTCTTTCAACACTAAATAACAGAATCTAACAAACCAAAATTTTCTTGAGAAAATTATGGTTTGATTATATAAGCTTAAGTGCTAACGTTAGAGCAATAAAGAGGACAATTGTCATGTTTATACAAATTGATTGTTACCATAATAAAGATGTGAATTGATTTTTAATTTGTCGTTACAAAATTCCAATTCAAAGGAAAATATATATGTTGACTAACCAACTAAGGAGTATAAATATTGATCAAAGAGTTAAATGACAAACTGAAATAGAAATGAAATCGAGACCGTAGC